TCATGTTTTCTTCATTGATTATTGTTTTTGCTTTCATTAATATGTGTGAGTAGTTTCTTTATTCCAAGATCTAGCGGAACCCGAATATGATTAATGCATGATTTAATTCTTTAAATTCTCTAATAATAATTGTAATTGATATGCTTAATTTATTATGCTTATGCCAATACTAGATTAGGATAATTAGTATTGTTATTAATCCTTTGTTTTAATCGCAACGGGAGTTGGGTTTTGACGGATTTGAATAAATCAATTAAGGGTTTGAAGTTCATCACGGGAGTAGTTGAATGGATGATTAGGAAGTTAGGAGTAATGTGCTTAAGGTCTTTAATTTACATGAATCCACGGAAGTAGGCTTGATTGTGATTAGAAAAGCCATTGATAACTCAGGAGAGACCATTGGTATTATTCATGGATTACTTTTCCTCTTTAATCAATTAAATTATGTGTTAGGGGTAGAACGGCTATTGCATTAATTGTATTTGTGGTGAAGCTTGATCTTGGATGTTTTTAGCATTGAATTGTCATTTTGTTTAGATTTAATTGTTTTAATTAGTTCTTTAGTTATTGATTCTCACTCATTTGATTTGGTTACTTGTTTAGTAATTTCTTGAGTCTATTTGATTAGTTGAACCATAGTCTCTTGGGATTCGACCCTTGATTGCCCGTCTACATAGTAGTGGTCTAGTTAGGTTTATTTTTGTTAGGTACGCGACACGCCTATCAAATTTGTGCTTTCTAGTGTCTTCGTAGTTTTGGTTATGTTATATAGGAAATTGCATATTTGGAGCATTTTCTCGGGATTATTTGGAGCAACTACGAGCATTGAAGGAGCACGACCATCTTTCATAGCCCAAGGCCGATTAGAGTTATCAAACCGGTGATTAAGGCTCGACATGGGAGAAGTCGAAGTGTTGGACCGAGTTATCAAGCCCCGAAGAGGAAATCCAGATTGGGCTTAGAATTGAAGCCCAATCAAGTCCTAAGATGGTGCCCAAGTGGCCTTGCCCAGTCAGGCATCCTCGCCCAGTCTCGCGCCCGGCCGGGCACGAGAGATGCACTCAGGAGCAAAAAGGCGGGCCCGACCGGGTGTTGCTTCACCTGACCGGGCGCGTGTCTTGGAGCAAGAAATTCGACGTTTTTACTTAGATTTTAATTAGGATTTTTTATGTTTGTATAAATACGTTTTTAGTTGTTTGATACAATTATCTCTCTTTCATTAGTTTAATCTTCTCATAAGCTTAAACTTATCTCTTGTTTTTCTCTCTACAACTCTTGGCTTAATTCAATTCATTATTTCCTTTAACTTTGGTAACAATTTCTTCCTTTTTTATTTCAGTAATTTATTTTCTTTTGTTCATCTTTTTTTTTTTTTGAAAATAGAAAAAGGAAAACCTCACAAAACTACACATAATTAGACGAGGAAACCTGGCACATTCTTGCAATATGTGCATGTTTGAAATTTAGCCCCTACCTCCTTTATCTCTTTTAACATCCAAATTATTGTCATGTCCTTACCAATATCACTCTGTAGGTTGTTGAGAAGCACGATAGAATCCGAAAGAATCATTACCCCCTGTTTTCCTTTTTTGTTGGCCCATTTTAAGGCTTACAGGCAAGCCCAGGCTTCACATTGAATAGCTGATGCGGCAGCACCATGCTTTCGACCTTCCTCCATAGAGTAGCCTTAATCATTTATTCTTGCAACCGCCCAACCGACCCCTGCTCTAGTAGAGTTCTTATCCTAAGAGCCATCCACTTCTATAACAAAAGAGCCATAGCCCACCTTAACTTCTCCAAGTTGCACAAGATTGAAACCTAACGGGATAATTGGGTCGTCCCCTGTTATTCCCATTTCGACATTATGTTGGCTACTCTGGTGGTTGAAAACTTTATGTTCCTTTTTTGCCAAATTTTTGATTTCTGCAAAAAGTTAACAGTCCCATTTTCACCATTGAAACATCTTTCGCTCCTAGTCTTCCATAAACTCCATAACGTCGCAACGAATTGGATGCTACAAGTACATCTTTCGTTCCTAGTCTCCCATAACATCCATAACGTCGCAATGAATTGGATGCTACGAGTATTATGCTTTTGTTCATCATGTTTTGCTTAATTGCTTTGATTAGTTTAGATTTGATTATGTGTGAGTAGATTATTTTCTAGGGTTGTGGGGATCCATAAATAATATGAAGGGGTAATTTATTATTGTTGATTGTCAATGCTTGATTAATTTCCTATTGATTAATTTAATGTTATTCAATTAGATTGGGTTTGGTTTAATTATATGAGTTTTGCAATATTGATTCGAGATTCGACATATGAGAATTGATGTTTAGGCTTAGTTTCAGGCAGGTTAATTTATAAATGGTTAAGTCAAGATTCGAAAGATGCGATTTAATACCGAGAGATTAATTATGTGATTGTAATACATAGAAAAATCCCTTTATAATCTGATTAATTAATGCATTGATGATTGATTATTATGTTTTACCCTGGAATATTATTTATTGGTGAACCTATACCCTAGGTTTTTATTATTTGATTTTCTCCTAAAACTTTCATCTCCGTAGCTTAGTTCTTTTCATATTAATAAATTGGTTACCTAATTATTAATTTAATAACGAATAAATCAACTCGTTTCCCTGTGGTTCGACCCTTCTTCCCTATCTGCTTTTGTTAGAGGATTTAGGAATTATTTTTGATAAGGTGATATGACGTTAGCTTGTCATTCATAACTCACAAGGTACTGCAAAGTCCATAGTTCAAAAGAAAAAAAAATCTGAATTAATATAGTTGTGCATAATTGAACCCCCCATACCATAACCCACCAAATTAACAAGGTACCTAGTGCACATAGAGTTATAAAATGTTCACGGTTTTGTACTACAAAGTGAATCCTCATATATTTAAATCCTCACATGCTTTCAAGGTGCAAAGGTTGCACTCTTGCTCACAGAAGCCCTATTTCGCTCAACTCAAAGAACTCCGGAGCAAAGCACCTACAGATATGGCATTTTCAATTCAAAAGTAAATAAAAAAAAGTCAAAAGTAAATTAAAATATCTTGAAAACAATACCAAAACAACTATGCAAAACTATTTACAATTTGGGCAGACAACTAGGCTAATCACAGTTGTTCAAATTATTGTAATGTCGAGTGCACCTGAGCTAGCAACCTGGCATTACATTCATCCCATTAAGTCAGGAATTTCATCAAACACTTGGCGTGCAACATATTAAAGCAATAAAAAACCCAACAACCCAAAACGAAAAATTAAACCATACACATCCACCAAACAATAACTCACTACGCAACACAGTAATTGAAAGTAATCAAAAAATAAAAATAGAAACCCTAGTCCTAGAAACTGCCAAACAAAAACCTAAATCAAGCAAATTAAGTAAAAATTCATTATTATAAACTTACAAATCTATCCACATGCTAATTGAAAACTCAAATGAAAATCAACAAATGCTAATTGAATTAAAATGCAAGTCTTAATTGAATAAGAAAACAACAAAGAAAAACAAAAGGCAAATCCTATTTGAATACAACCAACAACGTAAACACTTATTTTTTAAAAAAAAATTAAAAAAAAAAACAACGTAAACACTTGATAGAATCAAAAATTACAAAATCAAAACACTTACCTCTCCAAAAACAATCGATAACCTTAATACATCAAATCAATGTTTTGAGACGCAAAATCAGAAGTACTAAAATCACAACACAGAGAATTCAAGAGAAGAGAGAAAGCATGAAGAAGAGAGAGAAAGTGAAAAAGAAAAAACGCAGGAGGTAGTCACTCAAAATATCAAATTTACTAATTTTCCATTAATGAAGCATGTGGAATCTCGGTCGTTAGATTAAGCGCGATCAACTATCCTGATGAGTTCCTAGTTCCTATTATTCACCTTGGTTCTCACATGATCCCAATTCTATCATGTGAGAACCGAGGTGAATAATAGGAACTATGAACCAATCTCAGTCTTTAATCATGCTACATCCGACGGCTTACATTTCACCCGCATTCAATAATGGCATATTTATAATTTCGCGAATTGAATTTTTAAACTATTTTCCTGTTTTTTAACTTTTAAGGCAATTTCATTTATTTTATGACTGATTTCGTTTACTTTTACTAACTTTTCATTTACTTTTTAGAAAAGAAACTGAAAATCACTTTGTAAAGTTAATATTTACAAAAATGTCATTAATGACACGAGAAGTATGTTGACCATCCGATTAACATGATCAAAGGGCCTAGATTAGTTCCTAGTTCTTATTATAGATTTGGCTCTCATTACAACTTTATATATATATATATATATATATATATATATATATATATATATATATATATATATATATATATATATATATATATATATATATATATATATATATATATATATATAAGGTGGTCAACAAATTTCCCTAAAAAATAAATAAAATTGTAGTACTTGTTAGGCCATGTTCACTTCACCTTGAACAAATTATATTCAGTAAAAATAATTTCAGTTCTGTAAAAATCAGTAAACTTAAAGAAGAAATATAATAAAATATCAGTAAAATAATTTCATTTCAGCAAAAATAATTTCAATTCAGCAAAATTAATTTCAATTTAGTAAAAATTATTTAAGTTCAACAAAAATAATTTCAATTCAGTAAAAATAATTTTCAGCAAAAAATAGGTGAAGTGAGCAGGGCATTAATGATAGATTTTTTATTTATTTTTTTTGACGGGTTGTTAATGATAGAAATTAGAATAATAGAAGGGTAATGCTATATGCAGCCTAAGCATTCAATATACTTCATTTTTTAGTATTAAGTTGAGAATTTATCGACAATTCATTAGTAAATCAGTGTAATAACGGTTTATTTATTGTCAATTCTTTCCATTTTTAGCTTCTTATATGCAGCCCTAAGAATTGCAATTTTTATGTTTTTTTTATCTTATTATTCCATAATAAAATTGTAGATTTTTTTTTTGAAACATAAAATGATAGAAATTAGAATAATAGAATCCAAGTAAATTGTTAATGATAGAAATCAGAATAATAGAATCCTGGTGTAAACCAAAGTGCTGAAAGTTCCCACAGTAGAACAAATAAAGTTTAACTATAAGTCTAACAACCACCATGGATCTGTCCGACCCACCACTTCATTCTCACATTATTTCCAACCCAATTTCTCTTCTCCTCCCTTTCTCTCTCTCCCATCACCATCACCACCACCACCACCATCTCCTTCGTCTCGCTGCAACTCAAGTTAGGTTGTTATGTCAATGCCAGCAGCATCCGCAGCGGCCATTGGATCACTATGTTTTCCAATATCAAGGATCAGGCCCTCTTCCTTCCGCCCAAGGATGACAGCCATCCGATCCGGTGCCGGTGTCGACACAATTAATCATGTCTTGACTAAATTGCAAAAGGAGTGTGCTACACCACTCCCTGTTTTGCGCCACGTGGCTGATTCTATGGCTAATGATATGAGAGCTGGACTTGCTGTTGATGGTGGCAGTGATCTCAAGATGATTCTGAGCTATGTTGATGCTCTCCCTACTGGGTATTTTTCTTTTTTCTATTTTTCCTTACAATTGATCATTGATGTGTGCTTTAATTCTGAGAATTAATGTTTGAATTGAGTTAATGCATTATGTAGAAGACAATTTAAGTTAGCTTAGACTGAAAGTGTGAGTCATGATACTTGTATTTAAAACAGTGTCTATATACCCTGGTGCACGGTACACTCGTTTTAAAACAACAACAGTTCAATCAACATTAAACGAGCGTATCTCACTATCTAAAGTGAACATAACAACAAAAAACATTAAACATAGATTTAAAGAATACACTCTTCAATGTGGGAGTTTTCGTATGTGTCATTGTCAATTCAAAGCTACCAATTTTTATTTGTCTGTTGTATTTAATTTGAATTTTGGGATTAAGCTTTGTTTTTGGCCTCATGCTTTGGATATTTTGAAAAGGATTGATTTTTATACAAGTATATATCAGCATGCTATACATTCAGCTGAAGTTTAATTGTAGATGAATGTAATTTTGGAGTTGTATAATAATTAGATTGTGATGTTTTGTGACACTTGTGATGGTGAAAGGAATGAGAAAGGATTGTTCTATGCATTAGATCTTGGTGGAACGAATTTCCGAGTATTGAGAGTTCAATTAGGTGGAATGGATCAACGTGTCATCGCTACTGAGGCTGAGCAAGTCTCAATACCACAGGAATTAATGTCCGGTACCTCTGAGGTTTGTTGAATCAATTACTAGTATTCTGTTAATTATTTCCCTTGCTTAGCACCCTGAGGATGTTTATTAGAGCTTGTCTGCAGGAACTCTTTGATTTCATTGCTTCTGGTTTGGCAAAATTTGCTGAGAAAGAGAGTGGAGAATTCCAACTCTCACAAGGAAGAAATAGAGAACTTGGATTCACTTTTTCTTTTCCAGTAAAACAAACATCTATAGACTCGGGTATTCTGATCAAGTGGACAAAAGGCTTTGCAGTTTCAGGAACGGTTCGTGCTTGCTTAACTCTTTGTTCCTCAAGTTTACTTGGATGCTTTATGTATTATAACTTTGATATTAATAGGACTCTGTTTGAAATCTGTGTAGGCAGGAAAAGATGTAGTAGCCTGTTTAAACGAAGCTATGAAGAGGCAAGGGCTAGCAATGCAAGTCTCGGCTCTGGTATGTGTTGAATGTTTTTCAAAAACTTTAATACTTTAACAAAACTTTGGGAAATAGCATTCGTTTTAGCTACTGATGGAACAAGTTAGGTTAATGATACAGTTGGAACTTTAGCGGGCGCAAAATACTGGGACAACGATGTCATGGTTGCTGTAATCTTGGGAACGGGAACAAATGCTTGTTATGTGGAGAGGACTGATGCCATTCCAAAGTCGCCTGGCAAAAAATCTCAATCAGGAACAACAGTATGCCAGAATCTCTTCAATCAAAGATTTCTAACCTTATTTTCATTATTGGGATAATGTACTTAAGTTTTTTCATTCTCTAATATCTATATTAGATAATTAACACTGAATGGGGAGCATTTTCAACTGGACTTCCCTTGACTGAATTTGATAGGGGAATGGATGCTGAGAGCATCAATCCTGGCGAACAGGTATCTATAAATTTTTTTTTTTTTCTATTTTTTTTTTTTTTTACAGTAGATAAAGAAGAGCTGGCCTAACAGGCCGGAACTTTGCACAACCCATCCCAGGTTAGCAGGGGAGGAGGGGGGGTGGAGATCCCCACCCCCAAAGTGCCCCAAGGATTGAGGTTGTACGACACAATCCTGCCCACGAGACCATGTACTAGCATCAGAACATAGGTCTTTTATTCTATTGTTTCTTGTTAACCCTTGTATGCTGTTGAATGTTGATACAGATATTTGAGAAAACAATATCAGGCATGTACCTTGGTGAGATTGTGAGGAGAGTGGTATTGAAAATGGCTGAAGCAGAATCTCTGTTTGGCAACAGCATCCCAGAAAAACTGCAAACCCCTTTCTCACTCAGGTAATGTGACTTTTTTTTATTTCTTTTTGGGATGGTTTTGTGCATTGTGTTAAACCATTATCATCAGGCAATCAAGCAGTAGTCATTTGGCACTCGTATTATTTAGTATTCATTATCAGTTTGATTATTATGGGATGTATTCTCCATAATCTTTATTATTGAATTCCAAAATTTTGAATGTTCCAGACTTCTAGTAGATTCCTTGAAAATTTACACTCCTAGATGATCCATTTTTATTTTCCAGAATTAGAGTCCCAATAAGCAATTACTTGGTGCTTGGTACTGAAATTCTTATTTAGTACCACACAGGCACACATTCATGTGTTGTTAACAGGATATGTGCCTCATCTTGATTGCCCTAGAATCATTTCCGGAAGAACTGCCTAATTACCGTCTTAATACACTATAATTTGGCCCCTGCAGAACCCCGCATATATGCGCTATGCAGCAGGACACATCAAACGACTTGGATGCAGTTGGCTCAATTCTCTTCAATGAGGCAGGGGTAAGTCTTAGCAAAATCAATATGGTTTTAGAATTTAGCCTTCACAGATTAAGGTATCTAGTATTCTGAATTTTTTTTGAGAATATCATAGCTTAATTTTCTTCTTTGAGATTCACCAGATTGAATCAAATGTAAGAGCAAGGCAAATAGTTCTCGAGGTTTGTGACACAATAGCAAAGAGAGGGGGGCGATTAGCTGGTGCAGGAATTGTGGGGATTCTCCAGAAAATGGAGCACGACATGAAAGGTGTCATTTTTGGGAAGCGAACTGTTGTGGCAATGGATGGAGGCTTGTATGAAAACTACCCTCAGTATAGAAGTTATCTTCAGGATGCAGTTACTGAGCTTTTAGGACCAGCCTTGTCAGAGAAAATAGTAATTGAACACTCAAAGGATGGTTCTGGAATTGGAGCAGCTCTGTTGGCTGCTGCAAACTCCAAGTATAAGCATGATTTCTGATTCAAAAATTTTGCATCTAGATCACCAAGATTCCTATATGTTTATCCTCACCTACCTTTCTGTTTCTTTCTCAATGCTATTGAAATCACTAGCAGAGATCCAGATTGAGACTGCACCATTTTTTGCACTAGCTTCTTCATGTAATTCTAGTCATTTATAGTGAAAATATTTGTATTTATAAAAGATTTCTGGATTTAGAATGTGGCATTTGATTCTGAAATGCTTAGATATCTTGAGCAAAAGTGCAAGCTCAAGCACTGGGTGCATTGCTCTTTCACTCATCAATCAAATATCATATTTGTATATAATATGTCAACTGACTGCAGACAGACATTGCAAATTTTATGCATGTGCACCTGTTCAAAGGTAGAATACCATTCTTAGAGAGGCAAACTTAGCAGTGACTCCTAATTTCTGAATCCTGATCTTTCCATGAATCTAACTCACTACATAGCGCCCACACAAGGATTAAGCCTTGAATTATTGAAATCATCTCCTGATCTTTCATATGTTTACTGAGTGCAGCTTTTTCTTGGTTCAGAAGAGAGCAAAAGATAGCCTGACTGATCATTCCTCACCCCCTCCCCCCCAAATACACAAAGCCCCACCCCCCTACACATACAAAAAGAAAATTCTAATACTTCACTTTCCGACCTGGCAGAAGATCAGGTAATGGTACGAATGTCAAGTGTTGTGCGTAGGGCTGATTTTTTTAAAAAAAAAAAATCCTTTGGAAGGCAAACTAGGAAAATATATGCAATGATATCAATGGAAAATATAATACGCAAAACACAGTGCATTAATTTAGCACGGAAAAGTCTACTATTGCTTAGAAGAACTTCTATAGAATCATGATCTTTGATGAAAAAAATATTTTTACAGTTGAATAGTTTCAGCTCATGAAAAACCTAAAGTTTTGAACAATTAGCTAGTTCACCTTTTACTTTTCCACCAATAACCAAAACTGCAAGTACCGATCACTGCTGATTCAGTATAACATACAGATAGGTAACAGAATGAAGCATATGTAGTACTCATTCTCAAAGAGGTCCTACACCATCTGAGAAGAAGCATCACGGCAGAACTAGCATTCGAACTGCCCTTCTAGTTTTTACCACCTTGAAATCTGCTATCCTGCAGCAGCCAGTATGACTTACACATGATCAACTAACATTCAAAATCAAGCTACCTGTTATTTACTGTGTTTGTGGTATAGGTCCCACATATACAATCTGAAAAATTGCAAAAAAAAAAAAAAAAAGAATCCCAAACCGTGGCTTCCTGCTTTCATGACGGCTCTTGTGCATTTTTAACAAACCAAGCTACCCACTAGTTTATATATCCTTAGCCTTGTCTAGCTTTCTAAATGTTATCACCCATAAACAGCTCACAACCCTTATGAAGGCTTAACGTACTTTTATCTAATGCCACCCAACATCATCCAATTGTTCTTATGTTAGCTATTCTCTCAACTCAAGAGTCGCTCATTGCAAAGTAGTTGCAATGGCAGTACGCCACCAGAATGAAATCGGCCTCCTTTATCTTCACGTATAGAAGGGAGTTGACTGTTTTGAATCTTTACATTGGACATTGGCAAGGATGGACTGAGCCCTAAGTATTGCTGCTGTGGCTGTTGAGAGATGTGAAGATACTTGGAACCCATAGTTTCTAAAGATGGTCTAGAAGCTGATAGGTGCGCTTGCATGGGAATCATAGTGTGTGGATCCCGTGCACTATTTTGCCAATTTGCAATATGGGATGAGAGGAGAGGACTAGGCCTGAACTGTGCCGATAGTTGGGCTGTCCAAATCTGCTGCTGCTGTTTAGGATGCGACAGTTGTGTTGATCTTGCTGTGCCCAAAGGAACAGGCCCACAATGATTGCTGTAATATGAAGGTACTTGTATGTGAACCTGTAATATACAAATAGTTTTATCAAGAGTTTCAGATAGTAAATCAATATATGGAAGATTACATACTAAACAATACAATTACAGCATAAGACAGACTCAAGTAATCCAAAACACCAAAACCAGTCTCAAACTAATGCCAGCCTACAAATATAGAAAGGAATAGTGCCATTTATGAATTGAAAAGTAAAAATTCTAAATTTAGAAAAAGCAACCATAAATTAGGATGCAGATCCCTAACAGCCTTTTGGTAAGTAAATGGTGGTTATGAGAATGAAAATGTGCATCGAGAAATCAATGTCCATTCCCATGGTAATGATAGTTTACCCAAAACTATCTCTTTTTCTTCACAAAGTTTCATTCTCATCCATCACCATTTAGAGATAGTATTGGGTGGTGACGGACAAATATTACTCATGAAGATATTGCTTAGCTCATCAAATTACACTAAAATTCACTCATATTACCACTATTTATAATTTCCTACCAAACGAGCTGCAGATGACACAATGAGCTGTAAATCACAGGCAAATGGAGCAGAAAGAATGAACAATTTTATTATTAACATTTTACTCCTAAGAAAACCATCGTTGTGGCAGTACTAAATTCATGAGAGCATACAAATGATAGTTATGTCCCTTTTATCAGGAAATAAGTTAATAATTTATACAGGGATATGTATTGTAGGAAGAGCTGATAGCCAGGTGCACTTTGTATTAAGAAATTCTGTGTAGTTTTCCCAGGCATTAATCATGTCATTCTATTTAGATTAAAGTAACAGTTAAAATGTAAAAAGGTACATGCAAAATGAAAAAGGTAGAGGCCTACAGAGGAAAGACATGAAATTAGAAGATACCTGAGGTGGCATAGATGGTGGTGCAGCTGATACTGCTGCTGCATGATCCCCGTAACGAATGGGGGGAAAACTATTTTGAGGCATAGAGCAAGGAACGTAGGTATTATGCTCTGCAACTGAGTGTAGTTGAAGTACATGATCCTTAGCACCCATAGTAATACCCAGCCTATTTACACTTCCACCTTTGTTTACTTCTGTGCCAGCTCCAGTTGACAGAGACAGGAAATTATAGCTCTGCCAACATCAAAAAATGTATTAGATCAATATAAGATTGACTACAGCAATAACAATGACAAGAACACCATGTACCTCCTCCTTTGAGTTACACTTTCCAGAGAGTGAACGCCCCTGATCTTCAACCTGACACTTTTTGGGGAGTACAGAGACATCATTTGCAGTTTCACAAATCTTGTCAGCAGCAGAGCCAAACATGTGGCCAGCGGTAAAAGCTGTACTTAGATCATCCCGGTTGCCAGAAGCATGTCCAGTAGATAGACATTGTGACGGTCTCAGCTGGCTGGTATCTAAAGGATGAGTATCTCTTCTTTCTGAGGATTGCAGTACCTGGATCAGGTGGCTAATGTATACATGTGCAACAGATCTTCTCCACGTCTTTCTTCCACCATTTATCGAGTAGGGTACCTGGATTCAACGGGCAAATAGTCACAAATATAGAAAATGGCATTGGAGATTTTGTTGTCGAATAGTTGATAATTTGAAATATAAATTTGGAAAAAAAGGTCCTCTCCAAATCACCTTTCCAGCTGATGGAGTATCTTTGCAGGAAACAATTTTGGATGAGGAGGCTTTACCAGGCGAAGATGGAAATATTGTCGTAGCTGACCTGTAATTTGTAAGAGAGATTTCATTAGACCATTGAAAAGGTCAAATTGTAAATTATTATCATGTCCAAAATCTAAAAGAGAAAGAAGATTACTGTGAATGAAGTCCATCAACTCCAAGTCCAAGTGAAGGTCTTAAAGTCAAGGCTGGATAAAGAACCAGAATATTACACAGTAATACAAATTTAAGATTAAAAAATATAGAGATGAAAATGATAATGGTGGTACCATTAGCTCCACAATTTGATGAGGTAGCATTCTCTCTATCTTTACTAGCAGCGAAGTCTACTGCCTGAAATGCACAGTGATCAATTTCATTGAATAACAAAATAGAAAGAAAAAACCAGTCAATCACAATCAACAGGTCAACAAATGAAGCTTACTCCTATGTTAATGTGGGATTCTCTCTTAGGAAATTGAAATTTCTCTCCATTGGTCTCATTTAACCTGTATATAGAATAAAAAGGTCTTAAAACCGAAAAAACAAGAAAGAAAACACTTAAGTATGGATATCTGTGCAAGAACAAACTTTAAGGAGCTTCACAGTCCAATACTCACCTGCTCTCTAGGTTTTGTTCAGTTGAACAATAAAAGGGGGTAGAATGTGTTATTTGTCTTTCATCACAGGCCCTAAGCAGCGGAGGGATCTGAAAATGTGCTGGTGGGACAGAAACCTTCGAATTCGGATTCATCTGTCTTCCTTCAGATAGCTGCTTAGACCAAGAAAGAGTAGATTCATTCACAGTTCTCTTTTTCGAAGAGTCCCTTGGTGGGCCATTTGTGGTAGGTGCAGGATTAGCTGTTTTGGGTTCCTCTGTCAGGACCATTGGATCTAATAAGATGAAAGGTTCTTTACGTCAAATTACAAATAATAACCATGCATAAATCATCCAGAAAATGCAAGATTAATTACTGGAGGTTAAAAAAAACAACAACAAAAAAAAACCTTCTGATGAAGGCATAGCATCATTGTTTTGTCTCTTCGACAAGCCTGACATTTTTCCATCAAGACACTCCTCGTCTTTATCATTGGCATGCACGCCGTCATGAGGAACCAACCCGGCCAAAGCGAACAATGTCTCCGCCACCTCTGCCTCATCTTTGGAGATTTCCACCGAAACAGTCCCTCCAGAAGAATGATCTGACCAACCATTCTGCTGCATAGCAATTTGCAAATGTGCAACATTTAAGTATGTCACTTCAACCGCTCTGCTTCAGTATATAAATAAGAGTTCATTTACATGATTAGAAACTAACAAGATTAAGGAACAAACCATGCATAGCTTAGGTTTCTTCAGACTATTGTTTGGTCTATTCGCATTTGGCATGGCCACTGAAGCTGATTCACAGCTACGTTTTCGAATTGCTGACAACCAAAGCAAAATTTTATACACATGAGACAAACCAACTAACCATCTTAAACATAAATTTATAAACAAAATACAGACTAATACAATAATCTGTCACGTAGTACTCATATCTTTAGAAAATACTACCTCCATTACAGATTATGCAACGATTAGACATTTTTCCTCTCTGTTTTATGTCAAATCGTTGCACATAACCTGTAACAATATTGCTTCTGAAAGAATATTATATTACATATTGCTTCTTTTTACTGAATTAGAAAAAGGGTATACACTGAACATAAAAAAATGCAGCTTCCAGCATGTTAAAAAGTGGAAGAACATACAGAATCTGTTTATCAGAAAAAATTTAAAAAGAAAGAAAAAGGATTCATTAAAGCTTTAAAGTACAATTTCAGAATTTTCAGAAATCTTTTTATATTGACCCACCACTTCCCATGTACTGTACACACACAACATTATCTTCCCACAATAAAACCCATAATTTTTTTATTTTTTTTTTGAAAGAAGTCCTAAAAGACATTAAATTTCATTAATAATAGCCATACGGCATCTACAATTGACAATTAACGATAATGAAAATGAATTTAGCAAAATCAAACAAGAATTAATCGGAGAAGGGCTAAGAATCCAAATACATAAATATAACAATTCGGCACATTCTCGGTTCGTTGTCTCATACAACTTTTTGAGTGGATCCGTCGCCGCTTCGCAATTTTGTGAGAAAGAAAATTCTTGTGTTGATTCCGTAACCCGAATCCGAGCCATAATCAATAGTAGCCCCGCACAACCAGAGACCAAATTAAACACAAATAAAACCTTGTCTTTCGAAGGAATCCGAAAAACCTTGTCTTTCAAAGGAGATCGAGAAAACCTTGTCTTTCGAAGGAGATAAACCCTTTCTTTCGAGGGATACATTATTGTAACCTAGAACAAATTAAAAAACTTGAAAGAAAATAAAATTTGGGGCTTTCCACCGGTGAAATCCGATGGAAGCCCCTCCAAAATTGACAATGGAAGCCCCATAATTCTTAGCTATTGTATAATCATAAAATCCGTGATTTAATCACCAAAAAAACCAGAAAATTCCTTTTATTAATTTATTTTTAAAAAAACAAAACCGAATTTATAGCTCCAAACTATTTTTTGATAAAAAAAAAATAAAAAAAAAAGACATTAATTCATTTTCACCTTAAAAAAAAAAACAGAATTATTCAATAATTATTCTACAAAAATAATACCCCACAAAAAAAAAAAAAAAAAAAAAAAAAAAAAAAAAAAAGATAAAAAGACAAAATACCTGAACGAAGCTTCCTTGGAACAGAGGTATTGGAATCACTGAAAATCTGGGGGGGAAAAAACCCAGAAAATATGTAATTTCATATTTCAGAAATGACATTAACTCAAATAAATCATCAAAATCTAAAAAACCCAAAAAATCAAAACACCACTAATCATCTTATTTATTACATTATATTAAACAAATCAACAAAACTCAGAAAATTTAATCAACAATTATCGTTTAAAGAAGAAATTGAATCATATCAATCTTAAAAAATCAACAAAATCCACAAAATAATATAAAAATTACCTTTCTGGGAAGCTTGAATTTGATAGAACTGACAGTAGTGGAGTGAAGAAGCTGTTCGTCTCCACCATCAAAACCCATTTCTCTCTCAACAACACTCAATCGGTTCACTTTCTCTCTCCTCAATTTCTCCTTCTCCACGTTACCTTCATAACACCCAGAAAAATTAACCCCAAAAAAAAATATTATCCAAAAAAAAATGGAGAAACAGAGGCACCAAAAAACAGAGATATAAGAAGATAAAATGAAGAATTTATCCATAATAAAAATCCAAAAAAAACAGCAAAATTGTCTATTTCTGCACAAAAATTAAGGAATTGTTTGGTAAAATGAAAATGACAGATAAATTTTAAATAATATTAATTTGTGGGGTACCAGATACAACAGGCAGATGATGATGATGAGGCTTCTTCTTGTTGGGGCCAGATTGCCGACTAATTACACGCCTCTCGTCTTCTTCTCCATTTTTCTCCATTTCTTCTTTCTCTCTCCTCTTCTTTCTCTCTCTTAAAATAAACTGAAAATGGGTACTGAAGAAAAGGCGAAAATGGTGGGATTTAATTTTATTTTTTTTTTTTACTGGTTTTTTTTCCAGTAATAACAAATCCAATCAATTATTCCAAAAAAAAATGAAATTTCCAAAATGTTTTAGCTAGCTGGTGAAATGTATCAATCAATGAATGAATACTAGATTTCTCTCCATATTTCGTAATTTTTATTTTCTCTCTATTAAAAAGTGGAAATCGTTTCTCGTGTTAAGGAGAATCGGGTTCTTCACGAAAAATAGAAATTCAATCAAAAAAACCCAGAAATCATAACTATGTGGGGTAAGAGGAAGAAGAAGCTGAAATAGAGAAAGAGAAAGAAAGTGTGTGTGAAGAGAGAGAAAGTTGAAGCGTTTTTTATTCTCCTGAAAAATGCTGACAGAGGACGTGAAAAGACGTCATTCATAACTAAAATTAGGAAAATCGAAAAGGGAGGATATTTATAATATGAGTCCTTTAATAGCTCGAACGGTTAAAGTTTTCATCTCGATTTTAGAAGAATTTTGGTTCGGTTTTTATCTCACTCTGGTCACTCTCTAAACATTATTAAAAAAATATTAGTTGAAATAGTTCAAGTCCTTTGTCGCTTTTCATTACACCCTCCCACTTGTGTCGAGTCGAGTCAAGTCAAGTCTAGTTTATTTGGCAATTGAGGGGTTGAGGTGGTGATGTTGAAATAGTGTGACTCATAGAGGTATTCTAGCTCACTATGGTCATTACAATTTTGAGGTCATGTTGTTTTAATTACTTTACTAGAGTGGAACTTTAATCGATTCTAAAGAATTATGTTTTACCATTATGTTTTTATGTTGACATTTAGGGTCTGTTCTCATTAATTGAACTTAGCTGAACTGAAATGAAATGAATATTTTATAAGAGAAGGAAATTAAGAATTGAACTGAAGTGAAAATAAACGTATGAGAACGGGCCTTTAAATAATGATTAATGATGGATTTTACAAGAGTGGTGTGATTATCCACTAAAGGTAAGTATAATTGTTATTTGTTACTCGTATTTCTTATCAATGGATTTTATGACATTCAACCTGAACTTCTTGCATTTGTGTCATAACTCATAACTGCATGTATATATGGTTCATTTATTATCGTTTGTTGGAGTCTAAGCGTCTTCGTATGCGATCATCATATTATGGTAAGCAATAGTGATTGCATTAAAAAGGTACTAGAATACATATGTGTTGACGCACGGGATATTTCATGTACTTGTAAAGGTAAATAATGTTAGAAGTTATGGGAAGATAATTAAAACTGGTCTTTTATTTATTGTTTTTCAAAGAAAGGGGAGAGGGGATTGTGACTGCACATAAATTGGGGGTTGAAATTTTGGAGCTTCGTGGTTGACAATTGCAAGCTATGTTTTGTATTATTATATTAATACTTAAGAGCGTGTAAAATAATTTTGCAATTTAAGGTAAAATTAACAATTTAAGTTCAAAGTCTTGTGCATTGTCGCATTGGACAATAGCATCGCCAAAAAAATAGGGGAAAACATCACTAGCTACACACATCACAAATCGAGAGAACAATGATTTGCTGGATTGAACATAAATTGTACTCTCCAATAAAGCACTTAGATAAACCTTAAGGCTCATATATTTTTTGCATATAGTAAGACTAAATGGGCCTAGTCGAAGACTTCTATCCTAAGAACCCTATGAACCCTAGTTGGAAATGCCTAGGGGGTAAGGGGACGGGGATTTGGTCACGGTGAAACTCGAAGCTCACACCCCAAGTGTTGTGCGACAGCGGAAGCAAAGGTCGAAAACAAACAAGAAAACAATAAAGAAATTCAATGCAAACAATAAGAACAACACCAAGAATTTACGTGGTTCACTATCGATGTGATAGCTACGTCCACGGGCACCGAGATCGAATGATTTCACTATAAACTGCAAAGATTACAAAGATGATTCTTGTATTTCTCAAGAACGGCTCTCACTCTCTCTCTCTTAACCCTTATACTAATATTAGGGAGGTTTTATATTAATCCCTAAAATAAAAGATACTTGGGCAAAAAGATAACATAAAAGATAACTTTAAATCGTAAAATCCGCGTCTCCGCATTTTTCCTTCTCCGCCCGGTCAGACCGGGCAAGGTCTGCCCGATCGGGCGCGAGAAGAAAACTCCATACGAATGCTTCAACGTATCCAACCCCCACCGCCCGGTCAGACCGGGCAATGTCCGCCCGATCGGGCGGACAAAGCTACGAAGTACGAGTCACCTAATACTTATCAACAATCTCCACCTTGACGAGAACTCGTAGTCAGCAAACGACCCCATCAAGACATAGTGGAAAAACATCTCAAGCCAAACCCGATGCAAGACTCATGCATAAGCCATACATCCCGATAAGTCTTCAACCAAGACCCATCACATACTCGTCTCCAAGTATAACAACTCATAATGCTCCACCTGCATCACAAGCCCCGGGCAAGCTCCACCTTAAGGCCAACACACCTACACCAGGAGCTCCCCAACTTCGCCCCTCAGGGCCTACTACATCACGTAGTAATCAATATTTAGCAAGTCTAAGCAATGTTTAAACTTGCTAAACGGAACAGGCTTAGTGAAGAAATCAGCCGGGTTGTCAGCAGTCCCAATCTTCTTCACCTTAATCCTCTTGTCAGTACGCAAGAAATGATACCTGACATCAATGTGCTTCGTCCGATCATGGTGTACTTGATCTTTAGCTAAGCAAATCGCACTTAGACTATCACAATACACTGTAGCAAAATCCTGTGCAATACCCAGTTCACCTACTAGGCCTTTGAGCCAAATAGACTCCTTAGCTGCAGAAGTTAAAGCCATATACTCAGCTTCAGTAGTTGACAACGTAACTGATGACAGCAATGTAGACTTCCAACTAACCACAGAACCACCCAAAGTGAACACATAACCAGTCACAGACCTCCTGGTATCCACATCAGCTGCATAATCAGAATCACTGTACCCAGTGACCAAGCATTCCCTACCATTCCCGTACACAAGACCAATATCAGTTGTCCCTCTCAGGTAGCGAAAAATCCTTTTCACCCCTTGCCAGTGTTCCCTCCCAGGTCGAGCCATAAACCTGCTTACAACACTAACAGCATGCGCAATATCCGGCCTAGTACAGACCATAGCATACATCAAACAACCAACCGCGTTTGCATATGGAACTCTAGACATATAAGACAACTCCTCCTCTGATTGAGGTGACATAGACAAAGACAACTTACAACTAACAGTAGTTGGCGTACTTATAGGCTTCGATTTTTCCATCCCAAAACGAGACAAAATCTTTTCAATGTAGCTTTTCTGAGTCAAGAAAAGCTTACCTCTAGCCCGATCCCTGTAGATCTCCATACCCAAAATCTTCCTAGCTGCACCCAAGTCTTTCATGTCAAACTCCGAGTTAAGCATCTCCTTTAATCTAGCAATATCAGATTTATTCTTTGTGGCAACCAACATGTCATCAACATATAACAAAAGATAAATCATGGAACCATTATCCAGCTTACTATGATACACACAGCAATCATATGAATTCCTGTCAAAACCTTGTGAAACCATAAAAGAATCAAACCTTTTGTACCACTGTCGGGGGGATTGCTTAAGTCCATACAATGACTTTAGCAATCTGCAGGCATAGTGTTCCTTTCCAGGAACTTCGAATCCTTCGGGCTGCTTCATCAGAATCTCCTCCTCCAAATCGCCATGAAGGAAAGCCGTTTTAACATCCAACTGCTCCAGCTCAAGATCAAAATGTGCTACAATTGACAATAACACACGGATAGAAGTATGTCGAACCACAGGTGAGAATATCTCAACAAAATCAACCCCTTCTACCTGACTGAACCCCTTAGCAACTAGCCTAGCCTTAAAACGTATTTGCTCAGTTTCCGACAACCCTTCTTTCTTCTTGTAAATCCATTTACAACCCACAAGCTTCCTCCCTTCCGGTACCTTTACCAGTTCCCACACTCTGTTCTTGTAAAGAGACTGCATCTCTTCACCCATTGCGGCAAGCCATTGCGCAGACTCACTACAACTAATTGCTTGTTTATATGTGGCAGGTTCAAATGACTCTACATCATCAGCTACACTCAATGCATAACCTGTCATCGCATCAACACAGCAATTTCTTCCCTCCATCTCTTCAATCAATCTAACAGGCTTCTTGATAACTCGTTTAGGCATCTCAAGAATGGTGTCAGGTTGACTAGATGACCCCTGATTAGATTGCTCCACCTCATCCCCAGAGTTAGAATGAGTAGGAGTAATCTCAGGTTCAGGAGTACCCGGCACTGGAACATCAGCATCATCATCAATATATTGTACCCGAGGTAAATCAGCAATGGTAGACTGATGTACCTCAAGTACCCCATCTGTCTGTAATAAATTGTCTCCTTCCCTTCTCAAATCTGAAATCTCTGCATTTTTAATTGAATACATGGTGTTTTCATCGAAAGTAACATCCCTACTAAGAATGACCCGACCCTCCGAAGGTGAAAAAATTCTAAACCCCTTCACACCATCCCCGTACCCAACAAAACACCCCTTCTTGGCTCGTGGATCCAGCTTACCCTCAATAACATGATAATAAGCAACACAACCAAAAATCTTCAAATTCGAAAAATTAGGCAACTTACCACTCCAGATCTCAAACGGAATTTTGGAATCAATTCCAGAATGAGGACCCCTATTAATGACATAACAAGCTGTTAACACAGCTTCACTCCAGTACCTCCTCCCAAGCCCTGCATTAGAGAGCATGCATCGAACTCTCTCTAGCAGTGTCTGATTAACCCGTTCTGCTACACCGTTCTGCTGTGGTGTCTTCCTGACAGTATGATGCCGACCTATACCCTCATCTGCACAGAACTGATTAAACTCGTCTTTGCAAAACTCTAGCCCATTGTCCGTTCGTAGCTTCTTGATCTTCCTTCCTTGTCGATTTTCCACCAAAGCTTTCCATTGCTTGAAAACTTTGAAGGCCTCATCCTTTGACTTAAGCAACCTAAGCCATGTGTATCGGGACTTGTCATCAACAAATGACACAAAATAGTGGTAACCTCCCATACCTTCAACTCTAGATGGACCCCAGCAATCTGAATGGATGTAATCGAGCACTGCATCAGTAATGTGAGCACCCTTGCTGAACTTTGACCTGTGTTTCTTACCAAACACACAATGCTCACAAAATTCAAGGTTGGCAACCTTGACCCCGGATAGAAGACCCCTCTTGGACAATAGCTGCATCCCCTTCTCCCCCATATGACCAAGCCTCATGTGCCAAATCTTAGTCATCTCCTGGTGAGATACAGATGCGCAAACCGCAGAACTAGGCAGTGTAACACCCTCAAAAACATAGAGGGTGTTCCTTTTGATACCCTTAAGTACCAACTCAGAACCTCTGAAAATACACAACTCCCCATCTGAAAACACACCATTGTACCCCAAGTCATCCAGGGTACCCAATGAAATCAGATTCTTTCCTAAAGCAGGAACATGCCGTACATTAGTCAAAGTTAACCTCCGCCCATCAACAGTCCTCAACCTCATGGAACCAATACCTGTGACCTTACATGGAGCATTGTTACCGACTATAACCATACCCCCATTGCGAGGTTCATATGTATCAAACCAATCTCGACGTGGACACATATGGAACGAACACCCCGAATCTAGAACCCAGTTATCAGATAAATCATCAGACCTAGCAGAACTGACTAATGCTAAATCTTCCTCTGAATTATAGCTCTCATTCGGTTTCTCTTCAACTACAGCAGCCTGGGACTTGTTTTTCCTCACCGGACAATTATTCCTAAAGTGACCCGGTTCTTTACAGTAATAACATGTTTTAGTAGTAGTTTTACTAGATCCATCCTTGCCGTTTCCAGCACCCGACCCAGCATTGTTCCCCTTGTTAAACCCCTTATTCTTTTTAGACTTTCCGGACTTAACAAACAACCCACTACCATTATCCCCATTATCACTCGTAGCTTTCATTCTGAGTTCCCTAGTATGAAGTGCTGCCTTCACTTCTTCTAAGGTTATAGAATCCTTACCAACAACAAAAGACTCTACAAAATTCTCAAAGCTAGACGGTAGAGATACAAGTAAAATCAACGCAGCATCCTCATCATCAATTTTAACATCTAAATTACGTAAATCAAGCAAAATAGAGTTAAGTTTTTCTAGATGTTCCCGTAAGGAAGTACCTGACTGCATCCGGAGGCTAAACAACCGCTGTTTCAGTAATAATTTGTTGGTCAACGACTTAGTCATATACAATGACTCCAGCTTCAGCCACAATCCAGCCGCCGTTTCCTGATCAGCCACCTCCGTGATGATTTGATCATCAAGACTAAGTAATATGGTAGAGTGTGCCTTCTCTTCCATAACTTCTAACTGCGGGTCAGTCGGTCCATCTTCTGACTCCGAAGTAGTACTCTTTGGAGCCAACGGACGCCATATCTGCTGTTGTTTTAACAGAGCCTTCATCTTAATTTGCCATAGCCCGAAACTATTTTTCCCGGTAAACTTCTCAATTCTTATTGTTGAATCTCCTGCCATTGTTATCTTCAAGAAACTCTCCAAGGATTGAACCTGAGCTCTTGATACCAATTGTTGTGCGACAGCGGAAGCAAAGGTCGAAAACAAACAAGAAAACAATAAAGAAATTCAATGCAAACAATAAGAACAACACCAAGAATTTACGTGGTTCACTATCGATGTGATAGCTACGTCCACGGGCAGCGAGATCGAATGATTTCACTATAAACTGCAAAGATTACAAAGATGATTCTTGTATTTCTCAAGAACGGCTCTCACTCTCTCTCTCTTAACCCTTATACTAATATTAGGGAGGTTTTATATTAATCCCTAAAATAAAAGATACTTGGGCAAAAAGATAACATAAAAGATAACTTTAAATCGTAAAATCCGCGTCTCCGCATTTTTCCTTCTCCGCCCGGTCAGACCGGGCAAGGTCTGCCCGATCGGGCGCGAGAAGAAAACTCCATACGAATGCTTCAACGTATCCAACCCCCACCGCCCGGTCAGACCGGGCAATGTCCGCCCGATCGGGCGGACAAAGCTACGAAGTACGAGTCACCTAATACTTATCAACACCAAGGATGCCTGGCGACCTCAGGGCCGAGCCACTGCACCAAAAGGTTATTTTCCTACACCCTAAGGCTAATATAAGCAATTGCAAAGTATGGAATTCCAAGGCTCTAAGGGGGTATTTGGATGATTAAATTGGAATGGATTGGTATGAAATCTCATACTAAAGAGGTATGGATTTAAAACTCATACTAGTCTAAAGTTGTTTAAATTTACTGTTGGAATGTATTATATGCTTCATGAATATAATGAATTGTGAATTTTAGGGGGGAAAGGTGGGTATGAAATTCCATAGGTATGGGGTACAGTTACAACCCCTTAGGTATAATATTCCATAATTAAAAAGCTCAATCAAACAAAAAAAATAAAAAATAAAAATAAAAAGATGAATTGGAGTCTAACGCCATTCCAAACCATTCCAAATAAATGATTCAATCAAATGGCCCCTAATACATGATAAAATTAGAGACACTCACTTTACTATCAAATCCACCTTTTAAGAAAGTTTTTATAGACTCTATAAGGAAGCCTAAAATGATACAAACATAACTAGGGGTGAAAGTTCGGTTTTCAATTTGGATTTTTTCCCAAACAGAAACCAAACCACCATATTTCGGTTTCTTGATTTTGCAAACCACACCGCACCATTTTAGTTTTGAAATCGAACCAAACCAAACCACATAAATTTCGGTTAAAAAAAAAAAAAAAACCCTTAACTGCACCGAATTTTCCAATCAAGCATCATAAACATCAAATTTTGGAAAAAAAAATAAAATAAAAAAAAAAAAAAAAAACGAACCAACCCACACCAATCAAAACCAAACCAATCCATATATACAAACATAATCATACAAGTTTTAACCTTATTTCACCACCCCTAACCCAGATCCATACCCACCACAACCCACAACGACCCACAACCCACCTTATTACACCACCCTTCATCTCTTCCACCCAAACCCTAACCCTAGATCGACCCAAAACTACCTATCAACACCGCAATTTAATCACACACCACCATAAAAATAAAGTAGAAAAAAAACAAACCAAATTAAAAGAAAAGAAAAGGAGGACATACCTCACATTCCACCGAATAACCTCGAATTTGGGTTTTAAAGGTCAAATTTGACCATGAAAACTCTATATCTAGTGTTTTCATGGTCGAATTTGACATGGAAAACCTTTAGAAAATACGAACACTGGTGGTCATCCTTAGTCGTTTGCCTTAGTACTGCTGGTCGAAGAGGAGAGAAGAGTGAAAATGGAGAAGAGATCGAAGAGGAGAAAGAAAGGACGGAGTAGAGAAGAGAAAAGGAGAGAGAGAGAGAGAGACTGAGAACTTGAGAAGAGGAGAGAGAAGTGATTAGGGTTTTTTTTCTTTATAAATTATGTAGAGTTGGGCTAGGGTTTTATTGGGGCTAGGCCGAAAATTCGGTTTCAATTTTTCGATTTTTCATTTTCCGAAACCAAAACTGAATTACATAATTTCAGCTTATTAAGATTGCAAACCGAAACCGAACCACTAAAGAAAAAACCGAACCATATTCTTAATAATTTAATTAATTGTTAATTAATTTCTAAAAAAGTACTTTGGTAATTTATTTATTTAATTTTGGAGCCAAAATAATAGTTGAATTTTAGTGCCAAAAACATTTTCAAACTCAATAACTATTTTGGATTTTCAATACGATTAACTATTCATTTAATATTTTAATAATAACCTAATTACCTATATAATTTTTGGATATTTTAATCATCAAAAATACATTTCTTATCATACAACTAATATATAAAGCTAAACTTTTAGCCAGATCACGAAACATGGACACCTGGCATTCCAACTTTTCACCAAGTGTCGCGCCATGTAGGCGACAATTAATAATTAATATGCCAAGTAGGATTTATTTGAATATAGTTTTTTGTATAATAGGATAAAATAATATCTTTGTAATACCCCATGTTTTTAAGCCTATTTAATTAATTTTAATCATATTTATTAGACTTAAATATGTTTTAATTTGGGTTTAATTAATTTCCCTTACAAAAAAGTTATTTTCTTAAAAGATTTTCACCTTTATTTATTCAAATTATATTGTACACTTTATTTTAAGGTGTGTTCCCTAAGATATTTTGAGTTATTTATTTATAAATAGTTTCTAAACAATTATGATTTCAAAGTGATTTATTAAGCAAAATAATATTTTGCTAAACTTTATTTATAAAGTTATTATTTTAAGACTTTAAAGTGATAAAAATTTCTATGAATCTAAACCCTTTTCTAAACCATGACCATAGCTAGTTATTGGGCCAATGAGTTACTATAATTTTTCTCTAGCCCATAAGAATTCTTTGAAGTCCATTTTATACATATCCCAAATCAGATTTTTGTAGCCACAAAATTAAAGGAAAAAGAAAATATAAACCCACCCATCTTCCCCAATCAACTACCTCAACGTATGATGTTTATACACCATAACTATGGAAGATTCTTTCAATTTACCTCCCCAAATGTTACCTCCCCTAGTCTATTAATATAATGGTAAAAATATTTTCTTACACTTGGAGTTCATCCACTCCATCACCACTATCATATTCTTCTCAACCATTAGATGCACCACCCAAATCAACCAATCAACATTGAAGCTTAATTTGTTTTTTCACCATTTTCACAATAGATCAAGAAACCAAGCTAATTTTATCTCAATTTTAATTGTAAGAATACCCACAAAATTTCAGCAATTAAACCCAATTATAAAACCCCAAAACTTTTCCCTTTCTCTCTCCTCCGCGCCTCCTTGCATTGGCCACGCACCACCACCACCGGGACTCGTACCCCAGTCGCCGCCCGCCCCTGGCCGACGCCGGCTGCCCAGCCACCGTCGGACCACCTCCTTGCACCCCTCTTTCCTCCTTTGTTCTTTTGTCCCCCTCCAAACCAAGACCAAAGTTTGGTCTTTGGTGTTTTGTAAAAACCAAAACTAAAATCCTTAAAATCCCACCAATATAAATTCATTCTAATGATATTTGACCCATTAAGAGTAAGTGAGCACAATCCTTATACTTATGTTACTTTTATTGGCTTAAATTATGTATTTTGATATTTATTTTTATTATTATTATTATTATTATTATTATTATTATTATTATTATTATTATTATCTAACAACGATAAAGTTTAAAGATTACTTTACAAAAATAAGTATTAATTTTATAAAAGGGTTGAAGCAATTTTTCATGCACAATTAGTTTGAGTCAATATTTTATATCTTTTGTTCAAAGAGTATTGATTAGGATTATTGGTTTATTGAAGGGAAGTGTCAATTTCGTTGTTAGAGGTTTCATATGATTGTATGAAAGATTAAGGTACGTATTCATGGCTAGATCTTTAACTATGTGATTTTATTCATAAATGTGTTTTATGTTTTGAATGATGAACTATGTTTGAATGTTGAACAATGATTTATGAATGTTTATAAAATAAATCGTGTAAGCTTGTTTCAATAAAAACGATCGTTTGATATTTAAATGCTTTATAAGCTTGGTTGTAAACTTACTTGGTTTAGTAACTTGTTTAAAAAGGAAATGTTATCATTTTAATCATCCCATAAATGGGAATTGGAAGATTGATTTATCAAAGATGTTTATGTGATTTTCTTGACTCCCACTATGCGGAGATAAATGATAAGACTATGAGCTTTGTATGATCTAGTCTTTCCTCGAGTATAGACTATGCAAATGAGTTACTAGCTTGAGGGGTGTGCACACTTAGGTTGGGAAAATGGTTTACGAAAATGTTGATCTTCCATTTCTATTGGAATCTACTTTTGGAAAGTTGTTGATTTTGGAATGTTTCTAAATATGGAATTTATATTTATAAAAGGTTTGAATAATGATCGATTATTTACAAAATGTGAATTCTTACGAAAGAGTGTTTAATTAAATAAATTGATGATTTACGTATCTAGCATTGTTATGTACTTAGCATTTTTGCTAACGTATTTCTGTTTTGTTTTTTACTTGGCCCTACTTATCACTTATGATAAATATAGGTGACGATGATGAGTCGACGTGATCTAAATGTTGCATTATATTGGGAACAAAGTGCGATAATAACTTAGTCTAGATTTATTGGTTAACGATTTGTATGAAGAATTCTCGTGTGGTTCACTTTTGAAAACTATTATTATTTAATAAAAGTTAAGTATGTATTTTTCCGCTGCAAGTATTTGTATTTTGAAAAGCCTTACGTAATCACGTGGCGGTAATGCTCCTAAACTACTCTCTTAATCAGGTTTTTTTATCATTATTATTAAAGAGTAATTTGGGGGTGTTACAATCTTAGAGTTTTATTTTCAATAAAATGTGAATAGCTTTATAAGATAAAAAAAAGTTATTTTAGAGTTTATTTTCAATAAAATACCAATATTTTTTTATACAAAATGACGGATCTAGAGAAGTACAAAAGGAAAAAATAAAAATCAAAGAGACCTGTTATTATATATAACTGTTCTCTGAAGTCTTAACATACAACTAGCTTTTCCCTAGATGTTCAGAGAAATTGAAAAAAATATATCACAGCTTTAGACATCCATTTTTTTAGTTGTATATTGTTACTTCTATTTTTTTTTTAGATTTTCAAGTGATTATTAATTCATAAAAAACCCATAAACTGACAAGTATGATTGCCAATTGATTATTAATCCATGAGTAGAAAATTCTAATACTATATACTTCCTCCATTTCTTTTTAATTGACTTGTTTATTTTGTCACGTTTGCCAATGCACAAATCTAACCACTAATATATTTAATTTCCGATAAGTAAAATTTTAAAATTTTGATATTTAAAAAATATATATCGTGACGATTCTAACAAGATCTCACATCACTATATTTTTCATTACATATAAATCACAAAATATGGTCAAAGGAAAGTGTGTGAATAGTCCTAAAGTCAAAACGTGTCAATTAATAAAAAACAGATAATAAGTTTTATTTTAAAATTCAATAAACAACCCGAGCATTGCACGGGACATAAAACTAGTTTTATTAAGTAAGGTCCGAAATTCCTAAGCAAATTAACTCAATTTTTTTGGATATTTAAGCATTAGAAAATCTAATTTTTTTTTAAAGTGAATTAGGTTAGAATAATTAAAATTATTTTCCTGTTTAATATTTTACTAAAAACCAAAATTTTATTAGGTAATTTTTTGTATTCTAAAGATAAATAATTAAATGGTCTAAAAATAAGTAGGCATTGTTTGCTTGAGAAATTTCTGCCAATTAGAAATAATTAAGTAGATTATTGTTTCGATTTTAGTAGACAAGTATTTTAATTAAATCTTCGTATGTCACTAAATTTTCCTATTCGAATCTAGTAAACATATGACCTGAAATTATCTTGTCTTAGATAGTTAGATGTCTCTTGATTACTCTCCAAGGAAGCATTTTTCCCTTTCTTCTTTAATAAAATGAAAAATTGTCATATTTCTTTAGTTGCTTAAGTCATCAATCTCACACTTACATTAAATTCAAGCCTAGATCTTTAATTAATTTCATAAACCAAAATTACCTTAATTCTTCCTACAATAAATTGTCTGAATTCTTGCCTTCATAAGTAGAGCTGTCAAAAATTAACCCTACCAGCGAACCCGACATGAACTGTCAATGATCTGAACCCGACTTATGCCGGAACAATGGGGTGAAACTAGTAACCTGTGACCCAACTTGAACCCAACTTGATGTTAACCGACAACCAATTTGATCTAATATTTTATGACCTGAACCCGAACTTGCACCCAACCTGATAGTAATCGTCAACTGATTTAATCCGAACCAACATTATCTGAACCCAAACTAGTACCCAACCCAATTAGAACCTGAAAACGATTATAACCCAACACAACCTGTTATTGACCCGAGTCATGGAAGGTTTAACAAATTTTTATATACCTTTTGTTTAGGTTATATATTGGTACAATTAATGTGAACCTCAATCCTTAATAACATACTCTGGTACAATTTGTTTAGCTTATATACCTTTTGTTCTCTATTACTTCATAAATAGGTTTAATAAAATCTTTATATTGCTTGATCAAATTATGCAGGGTGTAACTATATAGATTTAACTTGACCACATCGATATTCATTCGAAATGAACTTGAACCAAAATAAAAAAAATTATCCAACTTTAAGATTATCCGACCCAACACTAACCCAAACCCGAATGTACCATCTATTAACTTGCCCAAATCTGACTCAACACAACCCGAACATGAAATTGAACCTGATCTAAATTTGACTCGAATCGAACCCGACCTACACCCAAAAGGGTGAACTACCGGGAATAACTTGAACCCGACCCAAACCTTAATCTGATCTGAGGCTAAAATCACCCGACATAACCTGATCCTGATTTTCCCCAAAACTTAATTTGATCCAACCCCAACCTAACTTGAATACTTTGACAGCTCTATTCATAAGTTTATATATACCCCCCTGCTAATGAAAACTCACACAAAAAACCTCACAAATTCTGTTTCCCCCCCTCTAATTCTCACGGTCTTCTCTCCTCATCTCCTTTCAGTTTTTCTCCAACCACCACCAACACTTCCTGCTGCCACTGCACGACACTAGCCACCAGTCGGAGCTACTGTTGTCTCCTCTTCTTCTTCCTTCTTTCTTTCAATTTCTTCTTCTTCTTATTTTCTCGAATTATTTTAATTATTAATATCATTATTTCATAAATAATTATTATTAATGTTTTAATTGAATAAAATCAGAAATATTATTTAAGAATTATTGAAAAGAATTTTAGATTGATGTACATAGAATTTGGAATTTATTTTAGTTGTTTCTGATTATTTGATGACCTTATAATATGGTTATATTTATTTGTAGGGTGTTCTTGGTGTGATTGCTTGAGTTCTCTTATTGATTTTGCTAAGCAAGGAGGAAAGATACATTTAGGTGGATGGATACTCTATTAAAGTGATTGAGTTGAACAATATGTTTTAAGTGAATTTAATGGTGTTTGAATTAAATTGCACATTATGATTTGTGAAATAATATATATTTGAGGAATTTTTTAAATTTATGATTTAATAAATATGTTTAAAGGATTGATTTTTAATATCATTTTTAAATAAAATTGAATTTATTGAACTAATAAAAGAATCAGTTTGAAGGATTATTGATTTATAAAACGGTTGAATTGGAATTGTTATTATTACTGGAATTTCAAGGATTTAATTTATAAGAATTATTACATGAGGAATTACTGAATTATTATTTACAGCTTTACAAGGATGTTTTGATAAAGATTATTGACTTTATATGACCTAGTCTTTCCTCAAGAATAACCTTTCTACATACACAAATTCTCCAAAAAGGCGGGTGTGCATTAATTTATTGTAAAACAGGTTAAAATTATGTTTAAGTACTTAAATTTACTCTTTATACTGCAAAAATTATTATTTTTCGATTAATAAATTTTATCTTACAAAAAAATTATAATGCATTAGATTAATCTTATTAATATTTATAGTATGTAATCACGTATCTATAAGAAATTACACATTAAAATTAAATTCAAACCAACGATAAATTAAAAGTTACTCTTTAAGTGGTTAAAGTTACCATAAAATAATTAAAGTTACGCTGAAACTGATTATTTTACAATAAATTTAATGTACACCCGTTGTACACAAGCCATAGGCTTCTACATAAAGATACTAACTTGGGGGGTGTGTAGGGCTTTAGGTACTCCAAACAGAATTTCATAAATCATATTCATGCACACCTAAAACAAGATCGCATGCAAAAACACAAGAAAAACATAATTAAACTTTTAAAGCTTGATCTCCACGTAGCAAGTTGATTGATAACTAGGGAGAGAATAGATCCCCAAGCGTTGCTTCTCTACTTAGTCAACTGGATAGAATTGAACCTCCACTAATGCTAGTTAGTTGAGAATGAACCCTTCGATCCACCTTCTACCGAGAGGAGAGGAAATGATCAAGTCACAAACCACCACCACCGCGAGCAACCATCTTGCTTGGGTGGTCTGTACGGTTGTATGGATGAGGGGGGGGGGGGGAGAGGACGAGAGAGATTGGTTGCATGCTTCACACTATACTACTTAGGCTAATTGTGACTTATCTCTTAACCTATATAAGGCCTCTATTTATATATCTCAAATATAATTTAGAGTCTATATGAAGCCCAAACTCCTAATCTAACCCAAACTACTATAGCCTTACTTCTTATGTTGCTTGTCATTATCTTATGATGCCCATAAATGGGATTCATACTTTGTTCAATCCATGACCCCTATGTGTGACCTTATAGGATCCATTCTATTGGGCTTTGAACTATTTGACCAGTCCAAAGATTATTATATCTAGCAACAAACAATGACGACGCAAAAGAACGAACTTAATTATCTCCATATAATTTGATTCTTTATATACTTAGTAATTACACTTGACAAAAACATAAATGCTTCACTGTGCACACTTAAGAGAGAATTTGGTTAAAGGAATTGGTTTTCATTGTACAAGTATTATTTGAGTATTTGAGAAATTGGTTTGGAATTAATCAAGAGAATTGAATTATAATTTTGAATTAATATTGGATTTTCTATGATAGGATTTTGAAAGCATGTTTGCTATTTGCAAATTAAATTTACTTCTCCTGTACTTAAATAATTTAGCATATTTTTCTAATTTGTATTTCCTATTTTGTTTTAATTCATCGTATTTGCCTTATTGGTAAGCAACAATGAACTTTCAAGTGGAGTCTTTAATGGGTATATGGGAGTCCAAATATATTACATCACCTAGATTAGGGATGTTGTTTTTTAATTTGGTTTTTGAGTACTCATAAGTCATAACAATGGTTTGATTATTTTTAAAGTATATTTAATAAAGAAAGAGTTGATTGATTTCCACTGCAAGTTATTGTTGAGTTGAGTTTTTAAATAGCCTTATATTATCATGTGGCGGTAATACGCCAAGCCTATCTCTAAAGTACGTATAATTATAATATATTATACTAACATTTTCGTAGAGAGAGATTTTGGGGTGTTACAATATAAAAAAGAGAAGACTAGTTATAAATTTGGCAAGATATGTTTTTTCTATATATATGCATAAATTTTATATTATGACGTAGTATAAGAGGTGACGACGTGGTAGGTTTTAGAGACAGAGGCTCTTCCCTTTCTCTAGTAATCTTATAAGCTAATAATTAGCCTTTCAACATCTTTCTTAAGCCCTTCTTTTGCCTTTCTCTCTGGCACCTCCTTCCTTGTTTTGGAATGTGGTCACAACAATACAAGAAAATACACTTTTACTAATGAATTTGATAGCTCAAAACCGTCGGTGATGAAAAAACTGTTGGTAATGCCTTTATCGATGTAATAACGGTATTTGACCAGTCATCGTTACTATATTTGTTAGTAATTTTTCAAGTTACTAATAGTTAAAGTTGTTGGTAATTGTTTACCTATCTTGGTCATCTATAAACCCCCAACATCAAATTATAAAAATCAATAAAATAAAACAACAAGCGAAACCTAGATTTGGGTTTCGATTTCTCCTAACATCTACCATCCTAAAGGCCTAAATAACCCACAAAACTCACCCAAATCTAATTATTTGAAATTAAAAAGATGAAATGGAAACCATTTTATATAACCTAATACATTCACAATACAACAAACAACATAAAATTTACAATGGTAAAATTTGTTGGTGACTGCTAAATGAAGAGAGGAGAAAATTAAAGTTGATTTAATAAGGAGAGATATAGAAAGAAGTAACACATAAAAAACGAAAGAATATATTTGTTACAAATGAAGTGATTATTTATGGTAAATGTTGTAAATAAATTGAAACAAAGGTAGTAAAAATTAATTATATAAATTAAATGACCAAAAGTTTCTAAAAAAATTTACAATAAGAGTTTTATAAATATCCCTATAGGATTACATCAATATGAATTATATAAAAATAAATAATTAGATTTAAAATATAAAGGCAAAAATAGCTTGCAACAACATAAACAACTTTATATAGTTGATAATGATTTGGTGGCCAGGCAGCAACGCTGAATGTTTCAACAAAGCAAAGGAGAAATTAAAGGGTGCTCTTTGCCTTGATAATTCACCGGCTATGTGGTAGTGATTCACGATGTTATTTGCAGCGACAAACGATGGGGGGAGAAAAGGTTGGAAGTGAACAATAAGCGGGGAGAGAAAGAGGAGGAGACGGAAGAGAAGGTGAAGAAAAGAGAAAAGAGCAAAAGAGAAGAAATAGGAAGGAAAAGAGAAAGCAAGGAAATTGGGGTGATCGGATAAAGTGCAAAGAGAAAAAGCGGGATTTGATGAGAGAAAAATGAAAGAGATAGAGAAAGAATGAGTGACAACTGTAAGGGGTGGTACTATGGTTAGAAATGGAGAGAAAGAGAAAGAGAGGTGTGGGCAAAGTTTTTTTAAAAATAGAAAAAAAAATCAACATTATTGATGACTTAGCTGTAGACACGTTTATTTTTATGGAGTTGAAACAGGTTTAAAAAATATTTCCTGCATCTTTAAGTCGTCGTCTCATCGGTAATAATCTTTAATACTCCCTCCGTTTTTAAATACTTGCTTCATTTCTCCATGCGCTGAGTTTTAGGAGAAATTGGAGAAAGTAATAAAATATGAAGGTAGTGGGGTTGGTGGAAAAATAAAAAATTGTAAAAAGCAAAAGTAGTGGAGAAATTGGAGGAGAGAGAATATGAAATTAATAAAATATGATATTTGTTGGGTCCACTAGGTGAGAGAAATGAATTAAATATTTTAAATGCTTTCCAAATAAGGAAATGGAGCAAGTATTTAAAAATGGCCGAAAAAGGAAAGTGAAGCAAGTATTTAAAAACGGAGGGAGTATATATAAAAGTCAAAATTAAGTCGTCGATAAACTCTAATATTTTTAAAATATATAATAATAAAATTTTACATTTGATACTATATTAATTACTCGGTATAGTTTTAGGTCGTTGTTAAAATGTGAAGGTTGTTCAAGCAACTAATAAATCTAAAATTACCTGATGAATAACATTTATATAGGTTAAATAGGCACGTTCATGCTAGTTTTATAGTTGTTTTTAGGGTTTTTTTAGTAGTTTTTATGTCGTAATTGCATAAGTTGTCCATTTTGTGCTTCACTTCTTTTGTGTTTTCTTGATGTTTTAGGTAGTTTCTATAACTATTTGGACGCTTTCGGAGTGGTTTTGAAAGAATTGGACAGTGAAAGGATGAAAAGTCGATGAATCGAGGTCGCTCAATGAAGGATATGTGTTTGTGGAAGCGTAGGTTGAGATTTATATGAATTAGTAATGAATATAACATCCACAAGGGTCATAATGCACTTTTTGGAATTGAATTTGAGATAGAAATGAAGAAAAACAATATTTTACAAAGTGGCAAAACTGACATTTGTCCACTCTTTTGATCATAACTTGAGTTCTACAAATCAGATTAAAACGATTCAAATTACTTTGGATACTAGACTTGAGAAGCTTTCCAATGATAGGTCACAAACCCCAAGAATCCTCCTATAACAGAAGACATGGTCGTTTTAATCCGAGCAATGCAATTAGCGACAAGGTGTAAAACCGCAGGTTGCGCCTCTGCCCCACACCCACTCGAGGCCACTTGATGCTACTGCCAGGCCACAGCTAGGCCTGTGCCCATAGGTTTGGCCGAGTATCCTTGAAGCACCGATTAGCCTTGTCCTTCCACGATCGCAGCAAGTCTTGTGATACATCATCGCTTATATATCATCCAATAACATTCTAGTTATGTTTTTTTTTTTATTTATTTATTTTACTTTTAATTAGCTTAGTTTTAGGATAATATAGGGATTTTATTTTTACCTTATTCCTTTGAGGTCGTTTTTACGTTCATTTTCTCAGCCCTAGTTTTCTCAAGAGCAACTCTATGGATTCTCCGTGGATTCTTCTTGAGTTTGTTACTTTAATTCATTAAGTTAGTTTTATTCCTTTTTAAATTATTTTTTATTTCTTAGATCTAGTTTTAATTATTTATTTCATGTTTTAGTAGGTTTATTTCTAGGGTCTGGGAATCCATGTTTATATAATGAATCTTGATTGATTTTATTGATACTTTGACTATTGATTTCTCTAATTGATAGTGTTATATAGTTAATCTTGCAACCTGATCAATTGTTTGATTAATTATTGTTAACAAGAGCTTGAATCGAAAAAATCTTACTTTTAGAGTTTTACCTACAATTAGCAATTCTGTTTATGCTAGCGATCGAACTACATATGTTGAATTGAGAGCGTTAAGAGCCAATCGTAGGCTTAGCAATTACTCTAGATAATTGATTAATTGAATTGCTATTGATATTTGATAGATTTAGTACTTTAAACATGGTGAACCATAACCCTAGGTCTTTTTATTAATTTTTATTCTTATTTTAATTTAGACTATCTTTTTATCCCAATTTCGTAACTTATTGAGTTTCGCCAAATTCTTAGAGGTTAGATTAAATAGCCATCTCTCTGTGGATTTGACTTCACTTACCTTAATACATTGTTAGTTGGTTTTGTTAGAATTTTTTTTTGGCAGGTGTAAGACAACCTATCATTACTAACGCTTAAACTTGACCATCGGTAAATGCTCTTAATTTTATAGTGGTTAGTTATAGATGCATAATTATGAAATTAATAAAAGGTTTTACCTTGCTTTTGTTGCCTCTATCCTTTAAAGCTCACTACATGTTTCCTTCTCCTTTCTCATGGATAGGGTTTCGTTTAAGGGGGTATCTAGATCTCATCAAGGTTTTTGAGATTTTTGTTGTCGTTTGTATATGAATATATATATAATTGACGCGATTTAACTTTTGTATATGAATATATAATTGACACGGTTTAACTTTTTACACTTTTTATGTACTTATTATTGTGTATTAAAGGCTATTTGGGAATCACTTTCATAAATCAATAAAAACTTGTAAATTATGACCACAAACATTATATTATTCAATATTTATGATTACATTTTTTTGACGTTAGCATAACCAAACAAATTAGAAAGTAAAAGAATTAATAATTAAATTATTACGGCTGTCATTTGCTAGCAAATGTGCCCTTTGTACATGTTCTCTGTCTACCTTGAGAATATTACAGCATTGGAAACCCATACCTAGTTTCTTTATTTCCCGCATAGTCCAAGAGATGCGTATATCATTCAAGTTTTCTTTCCGTAAGAAGGTGATATCGAGTCGGAATATAGTTCCAACCATCTAAAGAAAATCAATTTTTAACCGTAAATAATGTCATAATGCTACCTAAAATCTCATTATTTAATCATCTATAGAAAATCAATTTTTATTTCTTTTAACCGTAGTTAACCCCCTTTGTCTCTCTCTTCTCCTTTCTCTTTGACCTCTTACCTTTATACTCCCTCCTTCTTTTAATTAGATGCCTACTTCTAAAATTACATGAGAATTAAGGAACTTAGAGATTTCTTAAAACCCATGATTGGAAAGTACAAAGTATGTGGGGTTAGAGAGAGATAGAGAGAGAAAAAACAAAAGGTAGTTGGTAATTATTGAATAAGATAGAGAGAGAAAGGGCTGGAAAATGATGTCAAAAGTGCAAAATAAATACTCCCTCTGTTTTTAAATACTTGTTCCATTTCTCTTGGGCACATATGTCGATGCTAATCTTTGAACAATATATAATATCTTTAATTATCAATAAATATAAATTCTAACAATTGAAAATTAATAATCTATCAATTAAAAAGATTCCAACAAATACCCACAAGACTATAAATCACAAACATTAGTCAAAGTAGAGAAAATGAATAGTGCTGAAAGTAGAAATGGAGCAAATATATAAAAACGGAGGGAGAAAAACAAAATTGATGACAACTCATCAAAAAGAGGGAATATTGCTAAACAATACATTCTTAAAATAGAAATAGACATCTAATTTTGAAAACCACAATAAGGAAAGTAGACATCTAATTTTGAAAACACCATAGGGTAAATAGACATCTAAATTTGAAAACCCCAATAAGGGAAATTGATTTTGGCACACCCTTATATGAGAAAAACATAGAAAATTGTGCTCTCACATAGAGGTATGCCAAAATGAATTTTGGTGTGTCAAAATCATTTCCCCTAATTAAGGGATGGAGGGAGTACTATTCATCAAATTGAAGAAGACTCGTCAAATTTTCGTCACTTGAAAATTCTTCATAAAATCTTGACCAAGATTTTTAAGAAAGAGACTTCTTGTGATGGAGGACGACCAAAATATGATACAAAAAGCAAATTCCAAATCAATTTAACATATCCATTTACAAATTATGCATAATTACTAGTTATCTAGCTTAATTGAAAATATATAAATAGAAGTCCTAGCTTTAATCAATGAAATTCAAAAACCATAAGCCCTAAAATGTGAAATTATTGGAGATGAATTAGAAGTTTACCTTGAACAATTGAAAGAGAGACAGAGGAGGAAGCCTTGAAGCTGTATTTTAAAATGGTGAAGGAGAAGATATAACAAAGTGAATGAAAGAATTAGGGAGGTTAACTTAGGGCATGTTCTGATTGACTTAACTGAGCTGAACTGAACTGAACTTATTGGAGCTGGACTGAATTGAACTAAACTAAATATTTTATGAGAAAAGGAAATTAAGAAGTGAACTGAACTGAACTAAGAATAAGCTGAAGAGAACATGTCCTTAATGCGTTAATATTTGGATTAACTTTTTTTTTTACAACGGCAAATAACCAAAAAACTAAACAATAAAGCTATGTAAGTTGACTCTATACCCATTCGCTATGTTATGTGCCTTAGCAACCTGATCCCTCCCAACTTTCCAAATGATGCAAGTTCTAAGCCTTCGTCTCACATCTAAAAGATCTTGGATCGTTCACATCATCCGCGTTTCCCTTCTCTTCGGTTGTTGGACTAGGTTAATCAATGCCAATGAGTCAGTGAATAAAAGAATCCTTTGGTACCCTTTTGCCTCCGCCCACTTTAAAGCATGCACACATAAAAGTATGCTTTTCCATAGCTTCCTCCCCCTCCATAAAAGTTATCTGGTCTTCCGAGAAAGCCCATCCCGTTCCTGCCATTCTAGTCCGCTTTTGCCAAGAGCCATCAACCATTATAGTCACTTCCAATCTAGCATCTGTTGTGTATGTTATGTCTTCCTTTTCGGACCCAATGTTTATTCGTTGAAAACCCAGAGGCGCACCGTTGTTATTTTTATCCTTTGCCCTGACATCCTCCCCTTCCTCCCTCATTTTCCAAACCGTGAAGTTATGCATCGCTGTATTATAGTTCCTAAACAGGTCTGCAAGATAACCTCCCTGATTACTGAAGACCCTCCCATTTCTAGTCAGCCAAAGACTCCGAAGAACGCCTATGAACATTCCTATTCGTTCACTGTTCTTTCCATCCTCACTATGATAAAGCAGGATATAATTCTGAATCCATTGTCCAAACGGAGTAGATTCATCATTTTCAGACAAGATATTCAGGGAACAATTCTTCCAAGCATATCTCGCAAAAGAACACATCCTAAAAAGATGTTGTAGGTCTTCCCCCTCTGTACCACAAGAATCGCAATAATCCTAAATTGTTATTCCTCTTTTGACTAGGTTCGACTTGACTGCCAACGCATTCATCACAAGCTTCCACAAAAACAAGCTCCATTTGGGCGGAATATTAAGCTTCTAGTTATCCTGCAGAATACATTGTCAGCTATCACATCCTGTTGCAAAGAAAAAATATTCATTAGGAAAGCATATCCCGTTTTAACAGTGTAGTTGCCAGAGGGATGCCCCCCCCCAATAAAGCACATCCTTCTTCTCAGTCGAAGGCAGCTCCATTTCCAAAATGTCCTGTGCAGTATTCCACTCAAACCTTTCTCTTATGATTGCCGCATTCCACGATCTCATATCTGGGAAGATCAAGTCCTTCACCCGCCCTGACCCGATCCCCCGAAGCAACTGATTTGATCTAAAGACCGGTGTTGAGTCCTGTACCCATATCATATTTCCAACCTTCACCCTTTCACCATTACCTATCTTCCAATGAAAGCCTTTGACCATTTTATTCGCCACATTGAATAAACCCCGTCTACCCCAAGAAGTATTACCACAAAGACAAGTATTCGGCTCCCCCAAACAAAGAGAGCATTCATGAATTGGATCAAAACAACGAGCCACTAACAAATGAGGGTTACAATGCATATGTGTCACCTACTTAAACAAAAGAGCATCGTTTAGAGACACCATAGATCTTATACCTAGGCCGCCCATACCCTTTGGTCTTTGAATAATCACTCTTTTAACCCAGTGCATTCCCTTTTCTCCCCTTGATCCCCACCAAAACTTAGCAATTAAGGAATCAATCCTATTCATAATCGAGGTTGGCAACTAGAAGCATTTCATCACATGGGAAGAAATACTAATCAAAACCGTGTTAATCAAGATCAAATTAACCGATTGTGACAAGTTGAGAGCCGCCCAAGATAGAATTCGAGCCGCTACCTTGTCCACTAAGTACTTAAACGTATCCATCTTCCTTGTTGTGAAATCAATTGGCGCCCCCAAGTGTCTATCCAAAGCTTGGACTTGCCCGACACCCAAAATTGCCTTTAGCTCCTCCACTTCTTCTACCTTTGCTAGTTTGCTAAATTTAACAAAAGATTTATTTAAATTCAACACCAGATCGTGCGGCGCGCTCTCGTCTTTTGGCGACAAGGGCGCAAGCCTAAAGCAAGGAGGTTCGTGAGCACACAGCAACACGGACCTACGGTGTCTCAAGAGGGCGCACGAGAACAACGAGTGCGGAGTCGGGGCTTGTGACGGCCGATACTTCGAAGCGGAACCGACGAAAATGAGGACGTCTCTAGGGTCTCTTGGTTTGGTGGGGGATGCTTTAAAACAAGGCAAGCACAATATCTATAAAGGCTTAAACAACACACAAGTCTTAAAACAATAACAACGGGGTAGAGAGTTTTGATTGAATAACCATTCGCTCCCTAAAGAGCTTTATATTGCATTAGTAGAGAATTACAAGTGAACGTTGAAATGACAGTAACACAATAATTCTCCCTAGGGTCTAGAAAAATAAAAAGAAATACTAAAGAGACATTACATAAGGAAAATATAAGGAAAATAAAGAAGAATACATAACAAAGAGGTTGGATTCTAACATCCTCCCCCACTTAAGTCGTCGACGTCCTCGTCGACTTACAAAATCTACACTAAGATCTTAGCAACTTCAGTCTTCTGTTGTAGGGGTGGCTCTTGTCCTGGTTCTGATGTTGGCGCGGTAGCTGACGTTGCGGTTGCTGTCGTCGGGATCTGGATGGTAGGGTTTTAGACGACTAACGTGGAAGACGGGGTGAATCCTCATCCACGCAGGCGGTTCTACCTTGTATGCGTTCTTCCCAATCTGTTTAGTGATGCGGATGGGGCCTTCATATTTCCGAATGAGGCGACGATCTCTCCCTCTGAGAAACTTCAGCTGTTCTGGTAAGACCTTCACTATCACCATGTCCCCAATAGCAAAATCAACTGGCCTTCTGTTTTGATCAGCCCATTTCTTCATCCGGCGCGATGCTCGCTCTAGGTAGGCTTTTGTAATGTCGGTGTTTTGCTTCCACTCTCTTGTAAAATCTCGAGCCTGAGCACTCCTACCGCCCTCCCAGTCAGCCACTGTGTGCGGGAGGAGAGGTTGTTGACCCATGACCAACTCAAAGGGGCTTTTGTTGGAAGAAGAACTCCTTTGAGCGTTGAAGCAAAGTTGTGCGACGTCCAAGAGTCTCACCCAATCTTTCTGGTTGGTGCTCACAAAGTGACGTAAGTATTCCTCGAGAAGCCCATTGAATCTCTCTGTCTGCCCATCAGATTGAGGGTGGTGGCTTGACGACATGTTGAGGTCAGACCCCATCATTTGGAATAGCTCAGACCAGAATATGCTCGTGAATCTGGTATCCCTGTCGCTTACTATGCTCTTTGGCAATCCCCAGTACTTCACAATATGCTTAAAGAAGAGAGATGTCGTTTCTTCTGCTCTGCAAGCCTTCTGCAAGGGTACAAACGTTGCGTATTTTGAGAACCTGTCTACCACCACCATGATAGAAGAGAAATGGACAACCTTCGGGAGGCCACTAATGAAGTCCATCGACACACTCTCCCACGGTCGAGTTGGTACAGGAAGAGGTTCAAGGAGGCCCCCGGGCTTCTGTCTGTCAACCTTGTCTTGCTGGCACATAAGGCAGGTTTTGGTGTAGCTCATCACATCTTCCTTCATTCCTGGCCAGTAGTACCCCATCGCGAGTAGACTGAGGGTTCTCTGCCAACCTGGATGTCCCGCCCACAGCGTATCATGACATTCCTTCAACAACATTTTCCTTAATCCCCCTGCTTTGGGGATGAACAGCTTTGTACCTTTAGTGAAGATGAGGCCATCTTCCAACCAAAAGCGTCTAGTCTTCCCTTCTTCAATCATCCTTGTTATGGTTTTTGTCATCGGATCATCTGGGAGATAAGCACGAACTTGATCTCTAACGGATGTGGCAATGCTGCTTGCCGTCATTGGCGCTAACTTGTACATCGCAGCAAGATCGGCCCGCCTACTCAGGGCATCGGCAACTCTATTGCTGGATCCCGTTCTATAGGTGAACTCCACGTCGAACTCAGCTAAGTCCTCCTGCCACCGAGCTTGTTTTCCTGTCAGCTTGGGTTGGGTGAGAAAGTGACTCGCCGCGGTGTTGTCTGTGCGGACGGTAAACTTTGACCCCAACAAGTAGTGCCTCCATCCTTTTAGGCAGTGCACAATGGCTAGTAGCTCCTTTTCTTGTGCCGCATACCTTCTCTCCGCATTATTCAGCTTCCTACTTTCGAATGCAATAGGATGTCCTTCTTGGAGGAGCACTCCTCCTAAAGCAAAATCCGAAGCATCCGTCTCGACCACGAATGGTTTGGTGATGTCTGGAAGGGCAAGGACCGGCTCCTTCACCATTGCTTCTTTCAACTTCTGGAAAGCTTCCTTCTGGGGCCCTGACCATTCCCAACGACAATCTTTCCTCAATAGGTCGGTGAGGGGACTTGCGATCTCTAAGTATCCCTTAATGAATCTTCTATAATAGTTCGCCAGTCCTAGAAAGGATCGCAGCTCAGAGGGGTTCTTGGGATCCCGCCAATCGCGAACAACACATATCTTCTTTGGGTCCATCCTCAATCGACCCTTCCCCACAAAGTGTCCAAGAAATCCGACTTCTTCCTGCGCAAAGGCACACTTTTCTCGTTTCACAAAAAGGTGATGTTCTCTCAGCTTCTCGAAGACCAATCTTAGGTGCTCGAGGTGCTCCTCCAAAGTTTTGCTGTAGACAACGATGTCATCGAGGTACACGACCACAAACTTGTCTAAGTACTCTCGAAATACTTGGTTCATCAGAGTACAGAACGTAGCAGGTGCATTCGTCAAGCCGAAGGGCATGACTAGCCATTCGTATGCCCCGTATCTCGTCACACAAGCAGTTTTTGGTTCATCTCCTTCGGCGATACGAACTTGGTGATAGCCAGACTTCAAGTCTAGCTTTGTAAAGTACACTGCATCCCCTAACTAATCGAACAAATCCTCCACCAAAAGGATAGGGTAGTGATTGCGCACCGTAACCTTATTTAATGCTCGGTAGTCGATACACAATTGAAGACTTCCATCTTGTTTTTTCTGAAAAAGCACAGGAGCCCCATAAGGAGCCTTTGATGGGCGGATGAAGCCTGCCTCAAGCAAGTCCTCCAATTGTTTCCGGAGTTCAGCCAATTCTGGGGGGGCCATGCGATAAGGGCTTCGTGCTGGGGGTTTCGCCCTTGGAACCAGCTCAATCTCATGGTCCACTGTCCTTCTAGGTGGGAGAACTTTTGGTAGGTCTTTCGGGAGGAGATCCTGGAACTCTGATAGTAGCTCGGCAACTGCAGGCGGAAAGTCTCCACTTGCTTCATCTTCCTTCGTGGAAAGTGTTGCTAGGAACGTGGGCTCGTTCCTCTTCAACCCCTTCTCCAATTGCATTGCTGAAAGGAGGGGCCCTTTCGGCCCTTTTCCCGAATCGCAGGTTCGGAGGAGACATGGTTGCTGCCCGGGCACCAGAATAGATCTAAGATGCGGCATCGGGACTGCCTTACTAAAGTGTAAGAAGTCCATGCCGAGCACCAAGCTGAAGTCGTCCATTGGCGCAACGGTAAAGTCCACCTGTCCGCTCCAATCTCCCCGCTTCATTGTTACTTTCTTGGCAACGCCGTGGATCGGTTTGGCAACTGAATTCACCGCTTTCATACTGCCTCCTTCTGGTAGGAGCTTCAATCCAAGTCTTTTTGCCTCTTTTTCTGAAATGAAGTTGTGGGTAGCACCGGTATCCACCATGGCACGAGTTTCCTTTCCGTTTACCAACGCATTCACATACATCAATCCAGAGTTTTTGGGTTGGCCCTCAGAGCCTTCTCTTCCCATAGCGCACATCATGCGAATGGCCCCCAGTCTGGAATGTTCTCCTTCACTAGGTACT